TTAAAAAAAAAAAAAAAAAAAAAAAAAAAGGATGAGGCCTACTTGGTCAAACTATAAAGCCGCAGGGCAAAGTTCTCTCACATCAAAATTTACAAGAATCTAGGAAGATGATATGCGTCAATATCCATTTGGTTTGCAGTTTTAATTAAACTAACATAATGAGTCAATTAAATTCTAAATCTATGAGAAGTAACTTTAGTATTGTAACGATCGAACTATGAGAAGCAACTTAAATAGCATTGTGACGATCCATCCTCTATACTCAAGCCATTAACTTATGTATTGTCCGCTATGGGAGATGGGCTTAGGCTCTCCCATAGCGGACAGTATGAAAGTTAATGACTTGGACATAGAGGCCAGGACATTACAAGTACCTGCAGAATGCAGTTAGTGGAAGTTATAAAAAGAGATAAACTCTTAACTAGATCGACATGGCAAGGTTTGAGAACGCATCATTCGTTCATGATTGCAATTACATGTGTAGAATATGTCCACAAGGCACATATAGAAGGCGAAACATTTACCTTGCAACGAACCACATCCAACAAAGATCTATCACTCAGGGGATGCTCAAAAATTCCAGCAACAAATTTGACTCTAAGAATCCTCTCAACAGCATCATCAATCCTTGACATTGGTATCTCCCCTGATTCCACAAGAGACAGAAATTCTCCCAAGAATAATTCAAACCTAAAAGGCACCATGACCTGTAAAACTCAGTGAAGCAAAAAGAGACAGATTATGTCAAGAACCTCCAAATTGTACAAGGCTTTATGCATTGAAGTATAACTTGTACCATGTCAATTCCTGCATTGACAGCAGACATAATGCACTGCCGGTATTTTGAGCCACGAGGAACACATAGCCGGTCCAGTGCTTCCCAATCTGAAATCACAAAGCCCTGCAGTAGAATATTGCTTATATAATCATTCAAACTCTCTGCAGCAACTACTTTCATTAATTTTAGGGAGAACATAGTAGAAGGACTCTAACAGGCTCGAGTGCATCAGTTACTGAAAAGAAAAAGCAGATTAAGCACAAACTAGAATCTTCAACACACACTAGACTTATATATGTAGTCCAAACTTGATTCATGCTTTAAGTAGAAAAATGTAAATTGGTCCTATTAAACTTTTATCGAAATACATGCCAAATTTAACTAGTTCCTTGTACTTCAATTTATCAATAACTCTAGCTGTGCTTGTATTCAATGACTCTATGTATTAATCAGTAACTTACTATTATAAGCAGCCAAATTCAATTGAAAATTTAAGTAGAAAATGTTTTTGAATCACATTTTTTTGTTACTTCTTTGAACTTGGAGAGAACAGAACGTTTTAAAAAGAAATCACTCTACAGTCTTCTTAGGACATAAAAGCAGGGACAGAGCAGGGACAGAGAGCTTCTGCAATACAAGTAAATATTCAATTTACTTTACCTTGAATCCCAGCTTATCTTTCAAGATCTCTGTTAAAAGAAAATGGTGAGCATGCAGTTTAATTCCATTCCAGCTAGAGTAGGATGCCATTACGGTGCAAACTCCCTGAGACATACAATCAAGATATGGTGCCATGTGAATCCTCTCCAAATCATCATATGAGATTATAGTATCCCCTTCATTTGTACCATAATCAGTACCACCATCACCAACAAAATGCTTGGCACACGCAATAACATTTTTTCTGGAATCAATTGGCTAAATTAGATAACTTATCTTCGCAGTTGAGGAGAAACTAATTGGATCATAAAAGAGGGAAAGAAACATAATGTTAAATATCTTAGAAGTTGTATGCATGAAAGAATGCAAATTATTTCTCTTTTACCTTCCAGCAAGAAAAGGGTAACCCTTGGGATGCCCTTCAGGTGGTTGCCCTTGCAAGCCTGTGACAAGGGAGGTCATCTTTCTGACAACTTCAGTGTCTTCACTATAACTCTCATAGCATCTTCCCCATCTGGGATCTCTGCTGATCTAAGAAGATAAATTCAAAAATTACTACAAAATAATGTTAATACTCAAAAAGAGAACAAAGAAAAAGACTCATAAAAACAATCAGCGTGCTCAAGCATTACATAATTACTTGTTCTTAAAATTGAGCTTTGAGCACATGATTTGAACTTGAAGTTGAAAACATACCAATCAATAAATGAAAAATCCCGCAAACTGTTAGTGTTTGAGGGAGTGAAAGCATGACTTGTTTATAAATGAGTACTGATAGATGTGTGTGCAACAATTGCTTAAGCCTTTTTAGCCAAGATTTGACTTGGCTTAGTTTCAAGGTGCCCATATAGATTCAAAGGCACATATAGCATTGAGAGCTCATGAACCTAGGCAAGAAATCATGTGGCATGTACAAATGCCAGAATTTCATTTCCGAAATAAGTGATGTAACCAATTAGTTTGGAGTGATAAATTTCTAAGAGATTGCAAAGCAATGCATACAATGTCTAAGAGATTTCAAGCTAGTGAATGTCCAAGAGTTAAGCAATGCACAGATATCTACAAATAAGCTACCCATCTAATCAGGGCCGGTCCTGTGATAATGGAGGCCCGAGGCGAGGTCCGTAAATTGGGCCCCCGGACGAAATCAACGTAAAAATTTACGTAAAAATCTAATAACATTTTCAATTATGTACGCAAAAATTTGAGCATTACAAGTTTACGAAAACAATACAAAATTAAAATAACATCCAAAATCCAAAACTAACCCCAAAAAAAAAAAAAAAAAAAAAATTTGAAGCAAAATTGGGCCCCCTAAGGGTTTTGGGCCTGAGGCTGAGGCATTTGGACCGGCCCTGCATCTAATCCAATGCGGGCACTTTATTTAGAAATATACAACACTAGTAAGATTTCCACTCATCTATGGAAAATGAAACTTTGTATCTTATGCCGACCTTTTATCTTATACTAGTTATTATCTAATGTTTTGAATGGAACACTTACGGAACGAAATTTTTCAATATCAAACCGCGGACTGTGTAAATAGCAAATTTACAACAAAAGATAGATAAAACGTGTCTGCTTCTAAATAAACATTCAGTCATGAAATCTAGATTGATATGTGCCTTCTTCTCCTCCTAGGAATGAATGTTACTATATTAGAACTACAAACACGTGAATCAGCTATAGAACTAAAATGGGCCTTTGAAGTTCATCATTGCCTGACTCATTTTTATTTTCCGTGTACAACAACTTAAAACCCTCCAGTCTGATCACCACAAGAATTTCAAGACCCTCAATATATCATTTACCAAAAGAACCAGAACATTTCACAAATCAGAAGATCTAAAATAATTTATAGGACTAAATAAGGAGTGAATTACCCATATGGTCATTGAACTTTGCAAAAAATTTCCACGAGGTCATTGAACTTTAAAAATCATTCAATTCATCACTGAACTTTACAAAAGATTTCCACAGGATCACTAAACTTTAAAAATCACCCTATTAATCACTGAACTTTGCAAAAATTTTCCAGGGGAATTCAGTAACCCCTGGAAAACCTTTTGCAAAGTTTAGTGACTAATTAGATGATTTTTAAAGTTCAGTGATCCCGTGAAAACCTTTTGCAAAGTTCAGTGATGAATTAAACAATTTTTAAAGTTCAGTGACCTGGTGGAAACCTTTTCCAAAGTTCAGTGACCATTTGGGTAATTCACTCCTAAAAAAGAGTCTCAAAAGATTGATTACTTGATAAATGTTCAACTTACAGCAACACAAGGTGCAAAGGCATAATGAGCCCCGCTTGCCCTGACTTCAAGAGCAGTTACCTCTCCTATCCTCCTGACCAAATCAGCATCTCTGCATTAAATAATGAATTTCACACATATCAGATGGAGATTTGCCAATTTATTGGCAACCCACAATCAAAAGTACTACTAACAATTATTGCTTCTAAATCACTAGCGGATTTTTCTTTTCGTTGTTTGGAAACATTGGTCCATGGCCGCTGAAGACGGGGCCTTTGCATACTTTAATAACACAACGAATGACTCCATCTAAAAGGTATAGTCGTTAGAGTGAACATAGTAATTGATTTAAATTTTGTCATCCATACCCGAATCCCTTCCGTTCCCTCAATAGATAAATACTAAATAATGCAAGAAAGAAAGTCATTTGAGCCAAATTGCAGGTGGAAAACTCATTACCTGGTGGCACCAACACCAATATTATGAGGAAAAATAGTGGCACCATAAACATTATTATTGCCATGAACCGCATCGACACCGTAGATCAGAGGAATGCCAAGGCGCGATTCCAGCGCCGCATTCTGGAACCCATCAATCATATCAGCCCAGTCGGCCGAATTTGCCTTGTAAAATGGATTGCTTCCACCACCACTCAGCACACTTCCTGCAAATTCGATACAAGCCCGCAAATTCACACGCACGGTACACCTTAACTACTAACTGATCCTACAACCATACGAAATTAATGGACCTATACAGCGGCGTTTAATGGCAGAAAGCGTTGCAACGCTGCGTTCGATCTGGGTCATTTGGCCGATCTTTTCTTGGAGGGTCATCCGGCAAAGGAGGTCTTTGATTCTGGATTCGATTGGGGCATTTGGGTCCTTGTATATGCATCCCATTTTCTTGGTGAAGTACTTTAATTATGGACTCAGTGATGGTTTTATAGGGATACAAGGCTCTGATAGTGATACTAGCGGTGCCGGTAGCTAAATGGACAAATTTCAGATGCTAAAAGATAACAAAAGTGCTACGTGTACAGCAAGTAATATCAATTTGGAGTCCGTTAGATAGTCATTTTTTTCAAAATGTATTTTTCTCTTTTTTTTTTTCAATCACACATTCTTTATAAAAATAATATTATACGTAAATTAAAAATTTTTCCTTATCTTTCAACCACACATTTCACATCAATTTACTATTCTCAAATGTATTTTTACATAAAAATGCCTATCAAACACCCCCTTGTTTAGCTCTCTCGCATGTAGAGGATCCCACACAGGTAAGATGCCGTAATTTTACGATCGTCAGATGTTATACAAGTATCTTTTCCACAAGACAATTGAGGAAATTGAAACAAATGTCTACTTTTTATATGGTCAAAATTTGTTAAATTTCCAACTTATTTTTATTTAGACCAAAATACCCTCAATAGCAATGAGGACAAAATCATTCATATAATTAAAAATTATATTGACTAATAATAACTTGACACATAACATATATTACTTACAATTAGTCTATGGGGTTAAATTGACAAATTTCATATGCTAAAAGATAACAAAAGTGCTACGTGTACAGCAAGTAATATTAGGGCCTGTCTGGACGTGCTTTTAAGCGTAACTCGGACCGTTGGTTATCAGAAATCCGATCATTGGCCAATTTTTTAATGAAATATGTCTGACATCTCTTCTATCCAATAGCAGGCAATTTTTCATGGCTTTTACCATATTACCCTCGCATTACATGCTCCACCAACCAACAGTCCAACACCATCTCTCTCTCTTCCATCACAGAAAATGGACTTCTCTCCCCACCCAGTCGACGAATCAGTTCCAGATCCGATCACAATATTTCTCCTCCAGATCCGGTCACAATAGTTCCAGATGAGTGATACCGTACCGAATTCGTCGACCTTCAAAACTCCTCCCAGCCATAGCCAAGCACCTGCGCTCAAGAACACCCACTGGAATCGACATGAGAACCAACCTTTCGTTGCCGCCTGTGAGACGGTTATAGCTGGCGGTCACCGCAACGGAAAGTGCTTCATGAAACACGGATGGGACCAAGTCATCCGGCTGTTCAACTCCAACTCCGGTCATTGTTGGACGAAGCAACAACTCAAGAATCATTGGGATTGTCTTCGCTAGAAGTATAAACGTTTGAGCGAGTTGCTGAACAACACCGGTGTGGAGCATATATCCGCAACGGGAAAATTTAATGCATCCGACGAGTGGTGGGAAAGAAAGATTCAAGTAAAGTGCAATTGACCGTCTCTGTTTTCCACTTCTTCATCTTTCCAGATTGTGGGGATTTTTAGTATTGTTGTTATTCATGTATTGTAGTATATATTAAGGATTTTTAGTATTGTTGTTATTCAAATTTGTACTCTACTTCTATTTTGTAGATTCATTTGTTTATTTGTATTTCTAGAAGTTCATCTACATACTCTTTCTCATTTGGGTTTCTCAAATTAACTTCGTTTTATTTGAATATTCAACAGATCTTTTTCTTTTTCTTTTTTTATAATTTTTGATTTTATCTTCACTTCATTTTTCTTTGTGATTTTGCATGTAATGTTATTTTCTTGCAGTTATTTATGTTTATTATTATTTGAGGAATTTTAAACAGACGATCTATGTGGGCAAGTGTTAAAAATGAAATGCAAAATAAATAAATGTCTCCCAGTTTATGAAATTGAAGGTGCCACATTTTGATGTAAAACGAATTTGGTATGAGTGGATAACTTGTTGAAGATTATTTATATAAATTTATTGCTCTCAAATGAACCCCTTATATTTTTTTGTTGGTATTGTGAATAAATATTCATATACCAGCGGAAATATTAATTCGGTGCATAGAAGAATAAAAGTAGAATAAAAATTTTTAATGGGTTGTTGCCAGAGATTAGTGTTTGTTATTTTTTTGTGAGATGCTAAGCGCTTTTAGTTTGGTAGTTGACTAACATATTATTAAAATCAGCTGAAACTTGTGGAATCTGTAAGTACTTAGTTCGGTCATATCCAATATGGACATTTTTGTATAAGACAAGATGGTTTCTATTCAGTTTATGCTTGTTGATGCACGTGTGTTTATCATTCTATTCAGGGACAATGGGTTGTAAGTTGTTTAATGCACATGTATTTAGTTCATGCTTATTCTGGTTACATTTTAGTGATACTCATATCTTCGACAGTGATGCTTTCATGATGAATGTGTATCAGGAAAACAAGGACTACAGAGAATTCAGAGACAAAGACTGCAGGGAGGTGTACAACTACAAGGTGTTGTTCGGGGATGCCTACGACAGCAATAAATATGCAGTAACACCCTCGACAATGTGCAGGACAGGCTTCTTCCTGTTTGAAGACAGTCGACATGAAGACCTGTAGGATAGTCATCCAGTTGACGAGGAGGGTAGCGGGTCAAGTGATGAGGGTGAGAGGATGGATCCTGTTGCGTCTAGCATGGACGTCTCGAGGCTGCGAAGTGGGGACAAACGTACACATGGCGGCAGGAACAAAAAAGAGAAGAGAGGAAAAGTATCCATGACAGATTTATCGAACTCTATTCACCTTGCCAGCGCTGCAAGTGCAAAGATAGCAGCTAAAATCAACAGCCTAGTCGGTCCCGATGTGCCGGATGCGAACACACTCATGAAAGAGTTATTGTCGACGGGCCGACTACAAAAAAAAACTGATATGTACTTTTGGACGTTGACTTTCCTATCACAGAGGCATAACAGGGAGATACTTGCAATGCAGGAAGATGCGAACGACAAATTAGATTGGGTCGAGTGGAGCTGGCAGGAGTACAAACAGTCCCACCCGAAATGAAAGCTGTTGCTTGCACAATTTTCTCATTACGGCTGTATTATGTACTGTTTTTATTCTTGGTTTTTCATATTTCTTTTATGTACCATGTGTTTGCATACTGTGTTGTAGTGTACTATTATACTGTTTTATTTATTATTTTCAAACTTGAACTTGACTGTTTATTTTGCACGCCTACTGTCATGTTTATTAGACGTCAATATTTCGAATAGTATAACTGACATGCAATGACCCTCAAATAGTGAAATGTCAATCAATTGATTCGTGCGTATTTTTTTCCGTTTGCCATGATTTTTGAGTTTTTTTTATGCGGGCCACCTCTTGTGCTGATGATAGCCTTTGGGTAGAATAGCGTCTATAGGAGAGAACATGCAACCAATCCTATGCATGCTATGCATAGAAGCCAATTAGGGAGATTCTTCTTCTTCTTATGCTTTCACTTGAACCATGTAACACAATATCTTTTTAATTGGAATGGCAGACTTTGACTTCAACTGTGTGCTTATAAATTATTGTGATGCTGAAGCCGAGGTCGGGGAACTTCAATTCTTGCAAGAACTCCAAGAGGATGTTGCCGAATGGTTTTGATACTGTCGAATATCAGCAATAGATGCGGCAACCTACTATCGGGAACAGAGATGCCGAATTAGAAGATTCCCATTCGCGAGGAATGGACACATGTTCATGCTAGATGCCATGCAATATAATCCTGAACAGTGTTATGCAGAATTCAGGATGTATCCCGTTATGCTTCGTACGTTCACGCATATACTTCGGGACGAATACGGACTATGTAGTTCGCAGCAAGTTGATGTATATGAACAAGTTGGAATGTTTTTGTGCATATTAGCGCATGGAAAAGGCTATAGATAGGTTCGAACATTGTTCAATCATTCGTTGGAAACTATTGGACACTACTTCAAAATAGTGCTCCGAGCTGCCTGCGACTTTGCTATACGTCTCATCAGACCTGATCCGAACTACAATAACGGTGTGGAGCATCACGTACTGAATTTGAACCAGCATCCGTTGTTTGAGAATTGCATAGGTGCGATTGATGGCACGCATGTCAAAGCTATCTTGCCGCAGGATGAACGAGTAAATTTCATCGGACGCAAGGGCATTCCAACACAGAATGTTCTTGCAGCATGTGATTTCAATTTGTGTTTCATGTTTGTGCATGCAGGGTGGATGAGGACCACGCATGATTCCCGCATGTTGGCACGGGCCGTACGTAGTCCCGAATTTGATTTTCCGAAGCCTGCCCCCGGAAAATATTATCTCGTCGACTGAGGATTTGCCCATAGACCTGGGTACATGGCTTTGTATAAGGGTTCATATATATTGTATCATTTTCAGCAATTCTACGATGGTGAGAAAGGTGCCAGACAGAACTTCCGCAACGTGCGTGAGAGATTTAACTTTAGGCATTTGTCATGTAGGAACGTTATCGAGCGCTCATTTGGTGTGTGGAAAACTCGATGGAAAATACTTGATCGTATGCCGAGTTACAATTTCAAAGTGCAGATTGCTGTTGTCATAGCGACGATGGGTATACACAACTTTCTTAGACGGGCAGGAGTTGTGGATGAAGCGTTCACAAGAGCGGAGACGGATCCTGATGCGGCGGAGGTAGAACTCCCGGACGAGCAAGAACAAGCTGCTGTCGAAATTAATGCTCCAGAAATGCAACGAAATGAATGGGATCGCTTTCGCGATTATTTGGCTCAACGTCATTAAACGTGTTTTCCTATAACAACGTAGTTATTGAAATAATGTAGTACAGTTATTATCTATTAGTTTAAATTTACGTCCGTTGTAATGCTATGAGCTCATTTCGTTCGCATCTAATTATTTGACGTTACTTTAGTTTTTAATTGTCAAACTTCCAGAGAACATGAACACAAGCATAAAAAATAAAAATAGAAAAAAGCATAAAAAAAAAAAAAAGGAAAAAAGCGTACACAAAAAAATAGAAAAAAAATTTACTTGAATTTTTTTCTATAAGAAGCTAGGTTTGTGCAAAGTCGTGAAAAAAATGGATTCAGGTCATTTTTTATTTACCTATTTTTATTTTTACACTTTGTGTCTAATTTTTTTTTTTTTTACGCTTTTTGTTCGAAAAAATGTTGACGTTATCGTCAATTTCTCTAGCAATTTGTTTCACGCCTGGAACAATAATTATTTCTAAACTTTGCAATGTGTTGTTGGTGGACCACGTGAGAAATAAAAGGCTGCAAGAGTGGGTATTTAGTCAAATTGGTCTTCAATTGAGGATAGAGAAATGCATGAAATTCTTCCTTTGAATTATGACCGTTGGTGAATTGTTTAATGGAAAGTGTCTAACAAATGTGCAGACCAAGCAACATGCATTTACACATTTTTTCGTCCTTTCCCATCTTCACATGATCGGAGAATTCATTCTTGTGGAGATGAAGAAGGGTAGAGTTGTCCAGTTAGTAATGTTTTACAAACCATGCAAGAAGCTTTTAGATTGTGGGACCACATGATTTGACCTGAAAATCGATTTTCCTGGACTGATAATTTCTACCAGACATGCACTTAATTTGTTTAACTCTCTCTCATGTAGAGGGTCCCACACATGTAAGATGCCGTAATTTTACGATCGTCAGATGCTATACAAGTATCTTTTCCACAAGACAATTGAGGAAATTGCAACAAATATCTACTTTTTATATGGTCAAAATTTATTAAATTTCCAACTTATTTTTATTTAGACCAAAATACCCTCAATAGCAATGAGGACAAAATCATTCATATAATTAAAAATTATATTGACTAATAATAACTTGACACATAACATATATTACTTACAATTAGTCTATGGGGTACAAGAAATACCCACAGAGTTGGTACAGATTTTTGTTTTTACTAAGTTGGAATAGAAAATTCGTTTTTTATTCCCTTGTCAATTGCTTGTCCTTTTCAGTCGTTTTAAATGTATTAAACCCATAAATCAGAGCATACAGATTTTCCTTTGAGATGACAATTTATCCCGTTCCGTTCTGAATGGGGCAAAAAAAATCCGTCCTAATGGGTTGATGGGGTAGGGCGGGGCATAATTCCCCACCCCGTGAATATATATATATATATATATATATATAATTTTTTTTTTTTGGATATTGTTTTTTTGAGTGTTTCTTTGAATATTGATGTTAATTTGAGCATTATTTGTTTTGAATTTTTAAATTTTGGATTTGTATTTTATAATTTAATGGTATAACTCTAAATTTTGAAAATATGAATAAAAAAAAATAAAATTAAATGAGGCAGTAAACGGGGCAAAAAATTGCCCCGAACCCGCTCCGCCCCGTTTAAAGCGGGGTGGGGCGCGGGGGGCGTTCCCGTCCCTTTGCCATCACTAATTTTCCTCTTAACAATTCACTCGTCTTCATTACCCCCCCAAATCTGTAATGCAAGAGGAAGACTAGCCACTCTTCATTTCCCCTAAAATCATAAGCAAGAGGAAAATCGCCCCTTTCTTCGTCGTTGGCATCTGGACCACTGCTCGGCGCGCACCATTGGATGTAGCCCACTGAAACCGAACGTGCAATTACTCTTTGAAGGCGGCAATGAAAAATAAAGGTAGTTGTAAAAGATAACATTGATTCGAGAAGCTATTTTATAGACAGTTTTTTTTTTTTCGATACGTGAATAGCTGTAAAAGATAACATTCCTTTGTGGATCGAAAACCATGAATAGCTGGTTCGCTAACTAAGCGTTACAACAATTCTCAAAATATTAAACTTGAAGAAGCCTACTAAGCATTACAACAATTCGCAAAATATTAAACTTCTGTCCAAAGCTCGAACAACGTCAACAAAATTAAGCGTTGGACATCAAAGACTACTATGACCAAGAAGTTCATACGGTACAAATAAAGCATACAACAACTACAAATTGACATCACCCGTTCATGTCGGTCCCTTCCCTTCCCATCACTTTCTACAATTCCTTTTGCTTTGCAAAATGTAACGTGCAATGTTATGATGACATCTCGTTTCTCGGTAATTCGAGCTAGGCTGTCGAATACTCTTAGCAAGTCTTCGTATTCCTCGTTGCGCTCATGCTTCACCTCTTCGTTTCCTCTCATTCTACTCAACAATTGCTAACGAAACAAAAAATATCAATCAAAAGTAGCTAATTGGCCTTTTCCTATTGGCCACCTTAATGGTCTTCTCTTGCATGTTACAAACTACAAACAAAAATTGAACATCATATCGATCAAAATCACTTGAGTAAATGGAATATAATTCAGTAGTATTATATTCGATTTGATCACGTTGAATTCTGCTGGAACTAAATCTTTTCAGGCTTCTCTTATTTCTTTCCCTATTAGATGTTTTTATAGGAGGTCATGGTGGAATATTTAGTTACAGTACATTATTATTGCTTGTTAGATGTATTCTCTTGTTGCATTGAGTCTTACCACTCACCCAATGTGCGTATAGTAGCTTAACAAAAGTAGGCACACTTAAGCAAAATTCGTCTGGTAGCTTAACAGAAGTAGGCACACTGAAGCATACTCTATACGAAAAACACCACTGTTTATGAAAAATGAAAAAAAACCTTTGCCCGAAAATTTATGAAAATTACCTTTGCCTAGAACAAAATACCCCTCTCTATGAAAAATGACCTTAACAATCAAGCTCAGAAATTTAAGAACGAACTCACTAATTTACGAAGAACAAGAAATTAAATACTTCAAATATATGTCTAAATAAAGAGGAAATAACACCCAAATCATGTAAACAAGTCTAACACAGCTTAAACCATAAATTAACCTTAAATTTGATAAAGCAATGCATAAATCAGTAGATAACAAAATACCTTTGCCCAGCATCTAGGATTCAACTGCCGTCTTCAAATGCTATTTCGACGTTGGGTGTCGGTGGGCTGCCATCTTCATACTACGTCCAATGGTGCCGGTCAGTTGTCCATATGTCGGCGATGAAGAAACGAGCGGGTTTCTTCTTGCTTTGTGATTTAGGGGGAAAGTTTTTGGGGAAAATGAAATCTGGTTTATCAAAAGGGTCAAAGTAAATTGTTAAAAGGAAAATCGATTTGCTTTAATACATTTAAAACGGCTGAAAAGGGCAAACAATTGACAAGAGAATAAAAAACGAATTTTCTATTCCAACTCAGCAAATTCAAAAATCTGTACCAACTTTGTGGGTATTTCTTGTACCCATAGACTAATTGTATTACTTATTTAAAAAAAAGTACAATGTCAATCATGCAATAAATGCTCACTTTTCCCTATAAGTAGATAAATAAAACATTTATGAAATGCAAATTATTACTCTTAAAATGTTAAGAATTTTATGAAACAACGAGAACTCTCATGTGCAGAACGAATCTAAACAAATGAAACAACTTTTAAAATATCGAGAACTTTATGAAATGTTAAAAACAACAATTATTAAACACAATTTATCTATAAAACTAAGATTTCAAAGAAAAATTACCTTTTATCGAAAATCGTAAAGAATCTAATTAACACATAAATTTGGATGAGACTAAATTTCTTGAAATGAAATTATATATTTTTCTTATGAATTCGAAACATATAGTGTTTTTTTTTTTTTAAAAGTGTTGTAATAAAGTAAGGAAAACTTTTAGGTTTACGTATAGAATATTTTATTGTATGAATGTATAGTTGAAAATAAGTATGAAAAATAAATTAAAATAAAGTAAAATGAATCAAGCAGAGGCTTAGTAGATAATGAGTGTGTTTGATTTCCATTTTTTTCAAAATATTTTTTTCTTTTCAATCACACATTATTCAATAAAATAATGTTACACGCAAATTCAAAATATTTTCTTATTTTTTAACCACACATTTTCCATTAATCTACTATTCAAAAGTGTATTTTTTTCAATTTAATGGGGGCTCAAACAAGTCCAATGAAAGTAAATGAATCCATTAGATAATATTAACTAGCATTAATTTAGCTTATTATGGAAGGTACTTTTTCTTCTTCAAATCAGTGACAAATTGAGAAAAAAGAAGAAGGAAGAAATTACTTCATTTTTCATTAAGGGCGTTAGGGTTGGACATGATCTAGTTTGATTCGGTTCTAACGAGAATCGAATCAAACCCGAAATTTTCAGATATTTAGTAAGTGGAACCGTCTATTTCAAATTTAGTTATGGAACCGTTCGGGTTCGATTCTATTCGGTACGGTTTGGTTCCCAAGTTCCACATTATAATTAAAATTTTTAATATTTACAAAACTATATTTAATTCAACTGTTGATATGTTAAATCTTAGCTCTCATAAAATAACGTAGTTTAATTTATGTATCTTTTACGTCTTTCCTTGATGGATTCTTTATAAATTTGATTGTTAAAATCACAGGAAGAGGAAGATAGCGAGTTCACAATAATTAAGAGAGGCGTTGTCGAGAGCTTCAATTCGATTTTTCTAAAATGGTAGAAACAACATTATGGTAGAGTAACAAATTTGGATAAAATTTAGGTCTATTTGATTAAATTGTCTTTGAAATGAAAATTAGAAATAGGCAAATTAGTTTTAAAGTTTGAGCTAAATAACTAGTTAGAAAATTTATTTATAAAAAATAAAATAATTTGACCTATTTAAAATAAATTAATTAAAAAATTAGAGAGATTCTGTTATTCTATTCTTTATCTGAGAATCGAACCAAACCCGTCGGTTCTCCATTCAGATACACGTTCGAGTATTTAATTAAGAAAAAATGTTTGATTCGGGAGTTTTGTCCAATCCTAAAGGGTGTAGTAGACAATTTTGTACCAAATTTGCGAATTTTGCACGACTTTTAAAATTAGACACACTTCATTTGACAAATATGAAATTTGACATTTTTGTAAATTTCCCAAGATAATATTGCTAATAAATATGTAATGATTTAAAATAAAGGTGTTTTCTTTGTAAGGATAATTGCAACAGAGATCCAAATCTTTAAAATATTAGTAAACTTTCATCAAATCTTTAATTTGTTGCAACCATCACTTAAAACCTTTCGAAACATTATAATGGAGGCCCTTTTGGATGGCTTTCATTTAAGTCCCTGTTTGGTTTCCATTAAATTAAATTACATTACATTCCATTTTTCTCTCTCCTATTTTCAACCACACAATGTTCCATAAAATAATATTACACGTAAATCAAAAAAATTTCCTTTTTTTTTCAACCACCAATTTTTCTAAAAAATACTATTCCCCTCATTTTCATTTTTAGGTAATGGAGATTAAACAAGGGCTAAATGTCTGTTAATTGACTAAAAAATTTGACTTTGATCGTCTTTTAAATATTTTTAAAAGGATAAAATAATAACTTTCCATTCTCTCATTAGAATTAGAAAAAACAAAAAAAAGAAAAGAACAACTAAATACTGTATATCTTCTCTTCTCCCAGCCCACTGTCACCTGCTACGGCCAAATCTCTTTCCTCTTTCTTTTCCCTTCCCTTCCCAACTACAAACTCAGTTGAGTTAGCACGGCCAAGAAGAAATTAGTTGGGTGATGGTGAGGGGAAGCAAATTAGTATGGCCAAGAAGAATCCAGAAAACTCCTCCTAGGGTTTGTAGGATCCAAAGTGTCCATAGTCTTCCTCTCATCCCAAATTTTTTTGTAGAAAAATTTGAAGCAAATCGACCAAATAGGTGAGCTAAGAGATTAACCATACCAAAAGTGGTTGCTATGATTCCAGCAGTATGAAGCTTAATTTTTCATAGTGTTTTGAGAGAAGGCATGTGTTTTTGGGAGAGAGATCTCATCATCTGGGCCCCTTAGCAAGAGTTTGTATACAATATTTAGCCTAGCCAAATTCTTCTCATGCCCTTCATAATCGATCCATCTCAGAATTGGAAGAAAATCTCCTGGATTTGAATTGACACTAAGTGAGAACGCTTCATCAATAAGTTCGCGAAAATGCTTTGCCTCCTTACTTTCCTCACTTTCTCCAAAGTATCGCTTCCTAACCTCCATTCTCATTATAATATTAAAGGAAAGCTCTAAAAATAGAGATTAAGTTCAACATTTGCAAACTCACTTTGTGAATTTTCATAGAACTTTTGCAGCAGAAGCTTGATTTCATTTTGTTGTATGGACAGGAATATGTTGAGCGACTCGAAGAAAATATTTCAACTGTAGTGAAGCACCGAAGGTTGCTCCAGTGGTCGACGGGTTGGGGTAAGAGAAGATATACAGTATTTATTTTTTTTTTAATTTTTCTAATTTAATTTTTAAATTATTTTAAAGGTGTAAATGAAAAGTTACTATTTTACACTTTCAAAAATATTAAAAATACGGTCAAAGTCAAATTTCTTAGTTAATCAACGGATATTTGGATGAAAATCGTCCAAAAAGGCTTCCACCGCAACGTTTCGAAATGTTTGAGGGTGATAATTGTAAAAAATTAAAAATTTGGAGAAAGTTTGCTAATGTTGTAAAGGTTTGGGCTCTACTGCAATTATTCCTTGTTTATATTATGGCCCTGTTTGGTAATGATTAAAACTATAGGTATTCTTTTTGTACTATGGCATGTTTGGTACATATTATTTAAAGTTCATTCTTTATAAATTTATTTTTAACCACAAATGTTTTAATAGAATATTAATAATATAATTTTACATTTTAACTCAATTTTTTCAACTTTTTAATCACATGTTATTCAATAAAATCACATTTTTTTTTTTTCAAAATCTATTCCAAAAAAATTACACAAACGTGCTTTATATAGCAAAATGAATCCCAGGTTAGTCATAGTTAAACCAAATAATAGACAAGAATTATTTACTGTATAACCTCGATAATACAATGTGATATAACATATACGATGGAAAATGTGCATAATTATGGACTAATATTATTTATCCAGCCAAAAGAAGACAGTTTGGTCAGTTCGTAGAGGACATTGAATTCGATCATGTATGTTGTTATGACTTTTACATCATCAGCAGTAGGCCCACGTGCTCAAACCAGGTGGCAAAAATCTAGCTGCCGAACCCCTTGGAACGAACCTATGTGGTGACCAAACCCATATTGAGGCTGAGCTCTTAAGGCTGAGCCTCTCAAACAGAGGACGAGCCTGGCAGGAAATCTTTAAAAACGGATCTATTAAGGTGTTTGATGTGACAAATCCTCGCCACAGCCAACCTACTTGGTCAAATCTACTGCTAGAGGCTACAACTTATGGAAATAGAGTTGGACTAGCACTGATAGTTAGAGATTGATTGATGCTCATGATGGGAAGTTATAAACACACGGATGAGGACACGTGTCTTCTCATTTGACGGTTCTTACTCACCCTCTTCTATTATAAAAGCTCACACTTGGTGTCATTCCAAAAGTAATACAAGTTTAAATTTTGATACTATAACTTCACTCTTTACATTTTTTATTTACTCCCAATATTGACCCCCTTTTTTACATTGGAGGATCAGGTTAAAAGTCTTTCCACACTCATATATTTATTTCCAAAACTGACTTGATCGTCATAGTGCGCATGGTAGGCTCCATCCCCACCAGATAAGGTCACGTGTGGCTAACAATTTGTCTCTGTATTCTAGCCCACAACAAGCCCTTTGGGCAACAACATAGGGCCTAACTTTCGGTATTACCAAACCCCCATATGGGATCATATAATCAGTAATACCAAATTTTCTGATGCAGAGGATCCTCAAAGAGGCAACTGCAGAGCATACTTTTGATACTACTTAGATCTTGCTCTTACTTATTCATTCTGGAATTTTCACAGTTGTCAAGACTATGGAAGAACAAAGAAAAGATTTTAGAAGAACATTGTTAAGAGGAACAGACTTTTTATTAAGAAGAGTTGAGCTCGAGATGTCCCTTAATGAAAGATAAGAGCTCCTTATATAGAGGAGGAGCCTCATCATACAACCGACACAAAACTAATAATACCACCAATGACTCATCACTTTTAGTACAATACTTATTACATAAGGACATGACTCACAACTTAAAAGGACATGACTCACTACTTTTAGTACAATAATTTTACAACCATCTTTAAAAAAGTAGAGAATCTACTTTTTTAAAAGGGATTTTATTGCAAACGACAAAATGATTATTTTACACGTGCTGCTGAGTTATCAAGGTGTTCCAAGATTTGCTTCTCGTCCAGGTTCATTTGAATCATCTGAATCAGAGGGGAGTCCATGTTGCT